ATGGTAAACATTCATCTTAAATCGACTACTTCATCCACTTTATTTTTCAGAACAGACTCGTCTTCCAGTTTTATTATGTATTCTTGAGAAAATATGTTTTAGTACACATCCCTCTAAAAGTTAAAACCTCTTGGTGTCAAGGTTCAAATCTATTTAAATATTGACATTTTAAGTCAACTAATGATTTGTCATGTAGGGCAATGGATTGCAAAATTTCCAGCATCTAGTGTTCTCTTTCAAAACACGCAGGAAAATATAGAATAATGTTTTATCAATAGCTCATCTTTACCATTACAGTGTTTATCTGTCGTTAACATTAACAGGTCAGGTTAAACTGAAGTGAAGGCCCTGATTCTAACAATAGCACATTTAGATTAGTTTAGCAAGTAGACAACAAATTAAGGCTGAAAGCAGTCAGCTTGACCTCACTGTGCCAACAAGACCCCTGGGAGTAACAGCTGTTGGCCAAGAAATAGTCTAAATTAAAGTCATGTTCAGTTTTTCTTTAGAACATAAAAGGTAACTGAGACATATGAAGCCTCCCCACAGGTGTGGGCCAGGTCTGGTGTCAAACTGACTGCTGGCATGGCAACTGGTTTGTCAACTGGATGTGGGCCAGGTCTGGCAATGATGGCCCTGTTATTAAAATGTCATGCCACAGCTGGCCTTGTTATCGTTTGGTTTATGTGGTGCTGGTCCATGCATGGACCACCTCTGGCAAACCACATCTGGGCCACCAAAGGGCCGTCAATCTTGGTGGTATCTGGGCCAAGTATTAGTGCATTGGATGGATGGATGGATGGATGGATGGATGGATGGATGGATAAAAAAACTCAAAATCCCAATTTCCAATTGGAGGAATTGTACCAGTTTTTCAATTCAATTCAATTCAATTCAAATTCAATTCAAAAATACTTTATTGATCCCAGAGGGAAATTAGGTGTTGTTGTAACTCATTTAACTAAAAACTCATTGTAGATGCTGATGGCTGTGGGCAGGAAAGATCTTCTGTAGCG